CAATTCCTCGCAAACATCTGTACATTTAATTCACAATTTACTGCAAAAACATTACTTTTTACACAACATTTCAAATTATATTCATTTTATATTTAAGGCTAGAGTTTATTACCACTTGAGTTATTAATACCATTTGCTATCAAATCATTCTTAAAATTCAGTACATTATTTGTTCATTATATTTGGTAAATAATAAAACGTGTGTCAATTAGTTTCAAAGGATTTATTTTATTTTAGGAAATAACCAATTTGTAAAACTTATATTTAAAAATGTGATACAATATTAAATATTCACTAGACCATTAGATTATATAAAAATTATTTTTTGAGCTATTCATAATTTATACATTGTATTGTATGATTGATCATGCATTGAACATTATTGTTTATTTTGTTTGTTAAATATTATTAATTAAAACTTATTATTATTGTTATTTTTACAAAATTATTAATTAACTTCCTGGCAACATAGAAACATACTTTCAGAATGTATTAGTTGTCAATAATAGAGTATAAGATTGTGTTTTTGGCTTAAATTAGTTGTCTTTTTTATTATAGAGAAGAATATAAATGAGAATAGGATTAGAAAAAGTAAAGTTTGGATGAAGTTATACTAACAGTGCTGTTAATCTTATAGCTGTAAAGACATGTATGTCTTGCGTTGTATTGTCTTTATTTAGGCTGTAAATGCATGTATACTTCAAACACCATTACTGACTCTCTTTCCTTTTTTCGGTTCTTATCTTTATCTCATTTTCTTTCAAATCTATTATTAAAGACTTATATTCATTGAGAAATGTTTAAAGAATAACACAATTCACAACTCTATGAGATTTGTTTTGTTTAATTCTGTGTTTTTATATATTAGCACAAAATATAAATTCATTAAATTATTGACAGTATATTGAAAATGGATTTGAATTAATTAATAAATATAAATATATTGTCATATAATTGGTTGTCAGCACTCATTCCCTATACATGTATTGAATTAAAACGAGACGCGAATATAATTCCCTTAATTTAAAGCATTAATTCAGAGATGGTTTTCACGCAAAACATCATTTGATGCTTTAGTCACGCTTTCAAGCAATGAAAAAAAAGTGCACAAAATTAAGAAAATTTGTTCTTCTTTTATAGTTTAATAGCTTTTCATTGAAATAATGTTTTAAACATTTTCTTTAAATAATTGGCTTTTATTAAAGCTTTTTAAAAAGTTCTGAAATGGATTTGAATTTGAAATTTTAACTGAAATAATATAAATTTGATCATTTTGTTCGTGAATTGAATTTTTATCACTTTTAATGTTATAATATTTATATTAAAAACAACTTTTTTATTTTGCAGACCGAAATCGCTAAGCGTTTGAATGCAATTATTGCACAAATTTTACCATTTTTGTCACAAGAGGTAAGTCTTATTTGATTTGATGTTTGATTATTTGACAAATAATTAATTTATGTTTTATTATTTTCATATTATGCATAACACTGTCATGTTATTTAATTATATCCAATATTTACTTGTTATTAAATCATAAAAGTCTTAAGTTCTATCAAAATATAATTACATTTATGACTCGTTTATATGCGAGCAATGATTTTTTAGCACTACTTCTCTATTATAAATAACATAATAATTAATTAGTTTCACTCGTAAAGTAACTTTTGCCACAACAGAGTCTCTATTCATGACAAATATAAGACATTATCACTAATTGTCATAAAAGTATTCCTCTACTCAATTAAATGACAACAATTTTTGTTATATTTCTTACATATTCTTTAAACAAAATATTTCTTTATTCAAAGCGGTGTTAGCTTTCTATATATCGTACAATTTTTGCATAATTTTATAATAATTAAATTAATTATAGTTCTCTGACCGATAATTAACACTAATTTGCGTAATAATTACAATATATGAATACACTGTACAGAATATGCTAAACTGCAGTATACTTTAGATAGAAAACGTTATACAGTATTACACGTAAAGAATTGATTTACGCTTAATATTAACGAAAATATTGACTAATTTTAATGTAAATTTCTATTTGTGTTCAATTCTTTGTTGTTTTAAAGAATGTCTGAAAAGAATTGGTAATAAGTTAAGGACCAAAAAAGACTTAACTGTAGATTATATTGAATAAAAAAGGAGAGTTTGGGCTTAAAGCAGATACTGTTGTGCCGACCCCTCGCCGGTGTTCCCCATTAGATGTTGTGAGACTCGCCTCCAGGGACTCTAAATATACAATGCGCTCAAACCAAACATTTACGGCAGCTTTACTTTGCTCAGTCAATATTGATGCCCGAATCTGGTCTGTTTGCTGTTGCCTTTGCTCTGTCTGTTTGGCGGATTGTGTACTCAACTTCACTACAAACTAACATAACATGCCTTCACTACACCATTCAATTCAATATGCCTTTGCTTTGCTTTTTTCTCTTCCTTACACTAAACCCAATATTGAGCGATCGATTCCACAATGAAAGCAATGAAAGTAACTTAAATGTAGAATATTTGCCAACACAGCCAACAATAATATAAACTCACTCTATGTATACATTTACTCAAACATATATTTTCTCTATATATTCCGCGAACAAACAATGCATTCATATTCTGCTCTCATATTTACCATTCAATTCATATCACAATCATTTCTCTCTTTTTCTCTACTCTAATCATAGAACTTATTATTTTGTATTAAAAAATAAATGCCATTTATATGATAGCCATAACTATGAATGGATGAAAGTATGTGTGATTATAACCATACGTTTGCATTGACAGCATCAACAACAGGTCGCGTCGGCGGTCGAGAGGGCCAAACAGGTGACGATGACTGAACTCAATGCCATCATTGGAGTGAGTGATCACATTCATTGTCTCAATACTTCTCTCATATTACAGACATTTGCTGTTTTCTTACGACAATTACATTATTATTTTACATGATATTTGTTTTTCTTATTCTTATTTTATTTACATTTTATTAAGAATCCAAATAAGACATAATTTTTTGAGAGAGAAAACTTTATTTGAGTTTATTTTCGAGAATTATATTCAAAGTTAATATAATAATTGGGAATAATTAGTAAATATAGAGACGAAATGGATGTGTTGTGTTGTGTGACAGCAATTGTTTGTTAAATATGTTTGAAGGGAATGAGTCATTACAGTAATAACAATATTAAATGATATAACAATGTATTAATGGTGTGTTGTATTTGCATGTGAATCGTTGAACAGCAACAGCATTCAGGAATCGCTCATTTGATGGTAAGTGAAGTCAATTATAATAGCGTTAAGTCAGTCGGTGTGGCGCTTATGGTTGGGTGCGATGGTGTCGGTGGAAGTCCTTCAACGCTTTGCTTGACATTCCTTCACAAAAAAAATAATTCAGTTTTAGAGATGCCGTGAAGTGAGAGAATGAGAAAGTTTTTTACAGACTTTTTCTTTGATGGTTTGGGCTATAGTTATAGTTAGTTGTGTAGAACGAGTAGAGCTATAGTTAGTAGTGTTTCTCTCAAACCATCTGAGCGTAAAACCCCAAAAGACGCCGTACTCTCTAATAGTGTACTTCTCTAATACACAATCGTTGAGTACAACCATTATTTTCACGCATTTATGTTTCACAGCATTCTTTTGTAACTGTTATTATGAGAAGCAGACAGTATGTGATGTGATGTGCTTTGATGTGCTCTACTCGCACACCATGACGGGTGATATCGTGGGGGATAAGGGGGATAGCGGGGCCCACAAGTACTGCACCACCGAATACAACCCTCACCATTCAATGCCATTTCTTTATGGCTCTCTCTCTCTCTCTCTCTCTCTCTCTCTCTCCTTATGTAAGGCCAGTGAAGCGAAAAACAGTGTTTGCGTTCATATAATACCTCTCGACTTGGAATTAGAGTAGAATTACTCGCTTTCGTTGCCATTAATTTCACTTGAAATACATTTCTATTCATTTATTACAATATATACCAAATTATTTATACTTTAATCCCAATCTCATTGTCAGCAACAAATACATGCCCAACAACTGCCATCTGCACATTCCCACGGGCCTCCCCTACCTATGATGCCTCATCCAGGGCTGGCCGGCCTCCAGCCTCCCTCCGCTGCCACCGCAGCCGCACTGACGGCGGCAATGCCTCCGTCCAACTCGGCTGCCGCTGGCCTTCTGGCCCTATCGGCCGCCGGTTCGCTGTCCGGCGCCGCGTCTGTCGCCGCTAACAATAACAACAACTCAAGTCATTTGCCAGGAATTCCCTCAATCCTCGCCAAAGAGTCCTCTCATCGCGAAAACAATGAGAAGCGTTCACTCAATGGTCAGATAAATCAACTTAATATCAATCATATGTCAAATAAATATGTTTTCAATGAATTTATTTCTTGGTTTTTCATGTCTTTTCATTGGACTCAACACAACAGACGACAGAAGAGAGGTTTGAGTTTTACTACTAATAGACATGTATTTCCTCAGCAATAAAAGATGAATTCAATATTGAATATGAATTTCAAATATCAATACAAAAGAGTCTTTTGAATGAAGAAAAGAATACAAGTTTTATATACAAAAAATTGAATAAATAGCATAAATAGCATACAATTCAAACGTTTGGAAATTTCAATTTATTTTAAGCTTATTCTCCAAAATACTATAGTTTTCGCTTCTTATGCCCCAAAGTTATATAAAAGAGCTGTAAGTTATATACAGTACATACAGTACAGTACATGTGCCGTATATGTTGTCGAATATCTCATATCTATCGACACTTTATAAAAAAAGAGACGTTTTCTCCCGGGAAGTGAAGAAAACCCATTCGCACTCCAATCTCCTCATCGATTATTTCTTACTTTCTTTCATACTTTTGCCATATATTTACTATTTTGGTGTTTATCTTGTATTTGAGTTATTTTAACTATTTTTCAAATCCAAAGATCCATTTGTTATAATGAGACCATATATTACACTATTATTATAATATTCTAATGAATTGTTCATTAAATTAGAAATTTTGTTAACAATAACTACAATAATATAGCCTTAAAATAACCTCAAAAAGCAAAAGAATTGCGAAATTGGATCAAGAATTGCCTTCATATATAAACAAAGAGAAAATAAAAATATCCAACTTTAATATTATATTGAAAAGCATTAAGTGTTAGACAATTATTAAATAATTTGAGAATCACTTTAGATTCTTTGTTCAGTGATTTGATTACAATCTTTTCAAATATATAAGTGAATTGATTGCAGACACGAAGAATTGAAATGAATTCAGAGTATCCACTGATTTATAGCATTAACTGTTATATTGAGCGCAAAAGTCCGTTAAAAAAATATTGATGAATGAACTCATTTTGTGAGATCATCAATGGATATGCGAGGGATAAAAAAGTGGAAATGTGGGCAAAGAATGGATGTAATGCTAGTGATAGGGTCGGAGTCTGTCTGACGAGGGCTTTGAGTCCACTTTTTGCGAAGCTATACTTATATGACTATAACTATATATTTACTGTATAAGTATATAATCCTTGTTGTGACGGATGGATATTCTCTGGTCGCTAATAATAATTGTCAATTCGTTTTTCTCATTCAATAGAGAAACTCATTTTCGCCACACTCTGAGCGCACACGACATCGAAGTCGTACTCCAGAAACAGAAACCAAATCAAAAAGAAGATCCAGAGATACGGAGAAAAACGATCATAACGTGAGCGATATGTTCGCTGAAATCACATCTAATATTTTACTCAATATTTCTTTTCTCTGTTTGTTTGTGTGTTTTTTAGGGCAGTGAAGATGAAAAGAGTGATCAGGATTTGGTTGTGGACGTGGCTAACGAGGTATGGTATATACAGTAAACCCTAATGGATATTGATTTTTATTGACACCACTTCTGGCGAAATGCATTTGCATTACAATAACTAATTGATTGAGTGTTTAGTTTTGACACAACTGTTATACCGATTCTCTGTAATTAATTAACAAAGTTTTTTAACCGCCGCTAAACGACATTTCCCTAACATATCAGTACAAGTGATGCAAAACGAAAATTTTTGTTTGCATTTTGTACTCTAATTTCAAGAGTCGTTTCAATAAATATCAATTGAAAAGCAATGCCCGGAATCGTATTATTTGTATTACTATAACAATAGATGTTATAACAACTGTTTGTTGGATGTGTTGTAGGACCCGATCTCTCCCCGTAATAACGGTGACGCCTCTCCCCGTGAGAACGGTTCGGACGCCCGGATTAAACGCGAGCGCCCGCCCTCTCGGTCCGGCTCCTCTTCAAACAGCAGTACTCCTCTGTCAACAAAACCAAAGGAACACTCGGTTTGTCTGTTTTTCCCTAATATGTTACTACAAACACCATTTGCTCTCCTATTATACAGAGTATCCATTCAATGAACAAAATTATTTATTTTTATGACTCCAATAAACTTTTATGCAAACAAGTTTCCCTCGCTTTAAATCCAAAACTAATTGTTTTGCCATTAATTTTCATATGATATAAAGAGTGACAAACCGCCCACACCTGTGTCTAAGCCAATAACGCCGACCAGTTCTGGATCGACAACTCCGAGCTCGAGCGCCAATAAAACACCGAAACCCACCACTTCTATCGGTAAACAGTGTTTTTATATCAATAGGAGTTAAAGAATATTATAGTTATCATTACAACAGCACACACTTATGTCAATACTATATCCACTTTCAGGGCCTCCCTATCCCTATTTGCACGGAACACCATCTGCTCACCCGTCACTACCCGCTGATCTCAGTGTCGCCGCCGCCGCATACTCTCAGGGACTCCTTCACAACAATATCAATCCCGGCCTCAACTCATATCCGCGCGGATTAGTATGAATACCAATGCATTTAATTATTTATTTGTTTATTTTAACAAAATTACTGAATTGATAGGTTCCCGGATATGACGCCCACCCGTCTCTAAGAACACCCGGTTTTATCCCAGGCGGCAAACCCGCCTATTCCTTTCATGTGAACGCTGAGGGTCAGGTACAACCCGTACCCTTTCCACCCGATGCCCTCATCGGGTCAGGGATTCCTCGCCACGCGAGACAAATAAATACTCTAAATCACGGGGAAGTCGTTTGTGCCGTCACTATCAGTAACCCAACTAAATATGTCTACACCGGAGGCAAAGGTTGTGTCAAAGTGTGGGACATTAGCCAACCCGGCAGTAAAAGTCCTGTCTCTCAATTGGATTGTTTGGTATGAATTTAATTAAAAATAAATTTATTAAAATTTACTAAAGTTTGTGTTATTTGCAAACAGCAAAAAGACAATTACATCCGTTCGTGTAAACTATTACCCGACGGCCGGACTCTGATAGTCGGCGGTGAAGCGAGTACTATATGTATCTGGGATTTGGGCGCTTCTATACCTAGAATTAAAGCCGAGTTGACGTCATCGGCTCCGGCCTGTTATGCTCTCGCTATTAGTCCCGATTCAAAAGTTTGCTTCAGTTGCTGTAGTGATGGAAACATTGCTGTTTGGGATCTTCACAATCAAACACTTGTCCGACAATTTCAAGGACACACTGACGGCGCGTCTTGTATTGATATCAGTAACGACGGGAATAAGTTGTGGACCGGAGGTCTGGATAATACAGTTCGCTCGTGGGATCTCCGAGAAGTAATTTATAAAATATAAATTTTTGATTGATTTATAAATAACATGTTAATTCTTGTTTAGGGCCGTCAACTACAACAACACGACTTTTCGTCTCAGATCTTTTCTCTGGGTTATTGTCCGACTGGCGATTGGCTGGCAGTCGGGTATGAATTACTGTTAATTAAATGTTATGAAATGAATGGTTAAGTAATGATTGGTTTGCATTTGTATGTCTAGAATGGAGAGCTCTAACGTAGAAGTGCTTCACTGTTCAAAACCAGACAAATATCAGTTGCATTTACACGAGAGCTGTGTTCTGTCGTTAAAGTTTGCAAACTGTGGCAAATGGTTTGTCAGTACCGGTAAAGACAATCTTCTGAATGCTTGGCGAACCCCTTACGGCGCCTCAATATTTCAGGTATGAATTCATTCTTTACCTCAAAT